GTATGCTGAAAAACAAGCATCCGCTCAGTGGTGACAGCCAATGACTGCCAGCGCTCATCAGTGTGTTCTATGGAGGAGTGGAGTCCCCCTGTCAGAACACAATAACTCAGCGAGGGAGATTGACGCACTAACATTGCTTAGTTGGTAAGGCAGCCTCTCAGGTTTTTTTCTTTCAGCACACTGGGTTGACTAACTTATGAACTTTAAATCTAAATAACTATTCATGGGACTAAAAAAAAAAAAAAAAAAAAAAGCCAATACATCCAAGAGAAATGATAGCCTTTATCAAAGAAGTCAATTTTGTTGCTAAGGGATATACAGTATATGGTAGATGATATGGACAGGAATCTACTGAGAAAAAAAGATGCACTCACCAACAATGTGTCAAAGATGAGGTTTTATCTTCCTAAGTCAATGGCAACCATGTGCCATGCACCATCTTAAAATGTGCCAGCTCTAAGTAGAAAAGTCTAAGTGCACCAGATTCTACAAGATTGTTCTTAGAACGTATCATTTTGTTTACCATATGTAGTGCTTCCATTGGAGTAGCCGTTGGATTGTTTGGGTCCTCCTGCCCTGCTCCAATGATGACCCACCCTATACCTAGACCCAAGTGACACTAACACACCTGAAACCTTTTAGAATGGTTTTTAATAAGAAGGGAAAAGCCCTGAGAAAGAAAATTAGGTTAGACAAAGGTAATGAAGGCAGCTACCACAGTATGGATACAAGCAATTTAAGATCCCAATATCATACACAGGAGAATGGTCTACTTAAGAACATCAATCCATGTCTGAATCAATGGTCAGTGAAATATACAGTCCTGCTGGTATTGTGTCAAAATGCTCTGTCTCCACCAGGGGAATTCGTAGGAAAAACTCAGTTCTGTCCCAGCAGTACTCAGGAGCTAAGAGGCAATGACAACAGTAACACAAAATTATGGCCTATCTCCACTCTGGGGAGGTTAGATTGGTACTGCATCCCTCTCCCACCAAGGGTGACAGTAAAGTGGAAAAGTCACAGTCCCTGGACAGATGTGCATAACAGAATACTGAAATAACAGGAAGACTGGGACTGATAGTAAAACAGTCCTGTACAGGGATACAGTCTCTATACCCAGTGAGTGCAGCAACGAAATACACAGTCTGCAGCAATAATACAGGAACAGCGCATTTGGCCTTTGGGCTCTTCAGAACAGTTACTCCAAATGCAGCATTGAAGCCTTGTGACTCTCAGCAGCAAAGTCCTCTGCGACTTTTTCCAGACAGCAGACAGTCTCTCTGTCATATCAGCTTGGTCCTATTTCAGTAACACAGGCTAAAAGCAACCATGTGCACAGCTCTTTCTTCCTCCAGGAGCATGTATCTCTCAGACTCACTCCACCAGCAGTGGAAACAGCAGTAGAGCCCCTGTACACAGGCTCTCAGCCACTAAGTCTCTCCAGCTCCTGAGCCCACTGCAACAAGAACCCTCAGTAATGCTCCCCAGTCTCTGGGCTCTTTAAGGTTTTGTTGTTGTTTTTTGTCTTTTACACCATCTTGTGTGGGAGGACATATTTATACAGTTAAATATTAGACCATTTCCATTGCATTAAGTGCTAGCTTGGTAACATATATTTGTTGTATCAGACTACATTTTGATTAGTATTGCGCTTCCTTTGTCAAAATATCTGGTATCTAATGCTGTCTTTTTTGGAGTTAATTGATATATGTGGTAACTTGCATGATTCACAGGATACATGATGAGTTAATTGGTTCAGAGGATAGCCTATTTAGCTTAAAGTTTAGGTGGTGACTCCGCTATTGTGAGGCAAGTCGCACAATTTTGGTGAACCAGAAGGTATGTTTGTTTGGTTCCTTTATATATTGACTATATACTCCAGATTACAATATTGTGTAATTACTTTTAGTATGTTGTCCATTATTGTGAAACATTGTGATTGGCTTTGAGGTCCTTTTGGAGGAGTTCCCTGTCTGTCATCCCTTATTTGCCTCCCCATAGCCCAGGAGGATGTAATTATCTCTCGCTTCAAGCAATTGCTTTTTTTGGTATTCTGGTCTATGTAAATGGTGTATGTTTTTTTTTTCCCTTCCTCTCTTTTTCTATTTCCTCCCATGTTTTCCTTTCTCCTCAGCTGGATAGAATATTTACCCTATGGTGAGTTTAATTGAAAAGAATGTAAATTTCTTTATTGTTGTTGTGTTTATTTATGAAGGTCTTGTGCATCTTCCTATGCAGTATATTTATGTTTTTTTTCCGCTGATTTATAGATTAAAGTGTATATGCATAAGGCACTTGTCATATGGAAATGAGAAGGCCGGAAGAATCAGCGTGAACTGCGAAATGCGTTGACATCCTTATACATGACAGTAGCCACTGAAGCTTTATGTGTATTTTTGCATTGTGTTTATATGGTGCAATTTATATCTAGATTTTTTTTATGATATTTGTAATAAAATATGGTATGTTTTAACTTTGGTGTGATGTATACTGGAAATACCGGCTGGCCATCCTTGAACGCCCTTGGATGCCCTTTACCCTCCCCTATTTTTTAATCCATTCTGTGGGCTCTCACACTCTCCCAGGCACTCCTCCATCCACTTGGGTCTCGGCTGTGCCGTCCTCTGTTGAGCGAAGAGTAAGACTAAAAACCTGGCTACGCAGTCAATAAGAATCCTCCTTGTTCCTGGTAGCCAGTGGCTTGCATAGTTCTCACTAAGCCTCAGGTGGCTGAAACTGCCTGACCCGGCACTACACATTGTAACAGTCTAGTGGTCTGTCACTGAGGAAAGATGCAGTTGCTGACTAGTTAAGCAATGAAAAGAGTGTCTGAGCAAGCGTTGATTTGCAGGTGGGAGTGCACTCAGAACAAAGAATCAGGGTAGCCAGGCAGGGCTCCCTCATTCCTAAGAGAGTTGTGTGCTGCAGGGAGTAGCACCATTGTGTGGATAGCCATGCAGGGGCAGGGAGCATATGTTCAGGCCTGAGACAGACTCTTTGATCAGACTATTTGTCTAAAGAGGATTGAGTGGGTCACTGACATCTACAGTGTGTGAATGTGTTTAAATAGTCAGAGAGCCTGTACAGCCCAAGCAGAATGACGGCTCCAGCGTGGTCGTCCAGTTCTGGGAGGGTGTCATATGACATCCTCCCAGAACGTGCCCCTAGTGGTGCGCACCCGGCGCTGTCTGTTATTGTTGTGTCCTTTGGACACAGCTGATCACATGACATGGTAAAGGGCCAATCACAATGGCCTTTTACCACGTGATCAGCTGTGTCCAATCACAGCTGTCCACCATGTAAATTCACTTGCCGGTTATTGGCAGTACTTTACCCACACTGCTACAGCATGAGGAAAGTACTACCGGTAACTGGCAACTGTCAAAGCAGACATCTGCACTGATAATCAGGGCAATGATATCAGTGCAGCCAAAAAAGTGCCCATCAGTGTTACCCCAGCAGTGCCCAACAGTGCTGCCCATCAGTTCCCAACAGTTCTGCCCAGCAGTGCTGCCAATCTGTGCCAGTCAGTGTCATCAGTCACTGTTGCCAGGCAGTGCCCTTCAGTGCTGCCTATTAGTGCCCATCAGTGCCACCTGTCAGTTCCCATCAGTGCAGCATCATCAGTGCCTCCTCATCAATGCCCACCAGTTCTGCCTCATCAGTGCAGCCTATCAGTTCTGCCTCATCAGTGCTCATTAGTGCTGCCTATCAGTGCCCATCACTGCTGCCTATCAGTGCAGCTTCATCAACGCACATCAGTGAAGGAGGAAAATTACCTGCTTGCAAAATGTTATAATAGAAACAAAGAAAAACCTTTTAAAAAAATTGCTATTTTTCATTTATAGCACAAACAATAAATAACCCAGCTGTGATTAAATACCACCAAAAGAAAGCTCTATCTGTGTGAAAACAAAATGAGAAAAATTTCATATGGGTACAGTGTTGCATGAGCACACAATTATCATTCAAAGTGCTATAGCGCTGTAAGCTGAAAATTGGCCTGGACAGAAAGGGGGTAAAAGTGTCCGGTAGGCTAGTGGTTAAAGAGTAACTCCACTTTTGTTGAGATAAATACCTTCCCCTCTGGGTGATCAATGTACAATTGTGCTCAAAATTTTGCATACCATGGCAGAAAGAGTGACATTTTGGCATTGATATTGACAATATAACCGATTATGCTAAAAAGATAGTGATCATATGAAGCCATTTATGCATTGAGCAGGCAAGAATTTTCCACTTCTTAATAAGTGATTTAGCAGTACCGACTGGCATATTCAAGGCTTTGGATATCTTTTTATGTCCTTTTCCATCTTTATAAAGTTTACCTTGTTATGCAGGTCTTTTGACAGTTCTTTTCTGATCCCCATGGCTCAATATCTAGCCTGCTCAGTGCATCCACGCAAGTGCTAAAAAAACTGACTACTTCTAAACAGACACTAATTGCAATTTAAAAAGCCACAGATGTGGGAGATTAAACTTGCATTGACATTTTAACCTGGTAACCTGTGTGTGTCACCTTGTGTGTTTGTACCAAGGCCAAACATTCCAAGATATGTAAACGTTTGATCAGGGCCATTTGGGTGATTTATGTTATCATTATAGTCTAAAAAGGAGCCAAGCAATTATGTGATAATAAATGATTACTATCCTTAACCGCTTTCCATCCACCCTATAGCAGAAATACTGCTACAGTGCCGCACGGGTGCGCAAAATCATGTATATATATACATGATTTTACATTTCCGGGTAGGGAGGCCATGGCTGTCAATCACCGGGTCCCGGACGGTAATTACTCACTGGAGCCCAGTGATTTACAACAATCTCCAACTAAATCCAGGGAGAACTGTTTTGTTTACTAACAGCTGCCCTGTCAGCTCGGACAGACTGCTTTGGATGGCTATGCACAGCACAGCCATTCAAAGCAGTGCGCTTACAGTGAGGCACACTGACACGGCCCCCTATGTAAAACACTCCCAGCACACAGTTAACCTTTGATCGCCACTCATGTTAACCCCTTCCTGCCCAGTGCCATTAGTACAGTGTCAGTGCTTTTTTTTAGCACTAATCACTGTATTGGTGTCACTGGGGATGTCAGTGACACCAAGTCAGTTCTCCCCAGTGTCAGAATGCCCACCGCAGTCCCACTATAAGTTGCTGATTGCCACCAAGACTAGTAAAAATTAAAAAAAAAAAAAAATTACAGTATCTATACCGCCATTTGTAAACGCTAAAACTTTCATGCAACCCAATTAATTTACACGTATTGGGATTTTTTTTAGCAAAGACATATCGCAGAATACATTTTGGCCTAAATTTATGATGAAATTTGATTTTTTAAAATTTTTTACTGGGCATGTTTAATAGAAAAAAGTCAAAATCAATGCCAGTATCAGTATTTCAGTATCAATGCCAAAATTGCATGATTTCTGCTGGGGTATGCAAACTTTTGAGCCCAACTGTACATTCCAAGAATTTTAACAAACGTTGTTGCAGATTCCTGCTTTTTGTTGTTCTAAAGGAATAGCTGTTTGTCTGAGTCCATGTGGAAAGTGAATCTAATGGGAGTGGTTTTATAATTATCAATCAGTTGCTGGATCTAATGAGGAAAATTGCAGGGTCTGCATCCCTTTATAGGTAATTTCCTATTGGGAGTATCTCATTCTATGTACAGAACACCTCTTGGTAGCCATATTGCATTGGATTTTACATAAACTATTAGCACTGCAGATTGAAAAGGAAAGGTAATTTTTAATATAATTCAATTTCAATATGACCTGTGTTGCAATTGTATATGTTATACTACTTTTTTTATTTGCTATTCTTTTTCCCTAAGAATGTGGAGTTACCCTTTAAAGATACAAAAATGAATTGATCCCTTCTGTGCAGCCATAACTAAAAACCACAGTGAAAAATATGACAATGACCTTGTATACCAATTAGTCGCCATGATTTGCAGGTGTGAAAGTGACCACATGTTTCGTGGTGAAAGTGGAAGTGACCTAACATTCTTTTGCTTCCACTGTGTGATGAGACACCTAGCTAACAGGTGAGAAGCCTCACTTTCATCATGCACTGCATGTGCTACTAGTAATACAGTCATGTCAGAGCTTACTGAGCTACAGAGAGGGCAAATTGTTGGTGCCTCTGTGACTGAAGTTGCCAATTTATTTGCCGTGTCGCAAGGTACAGTATCAAAGGTTATGACGGCAGATACAGTTTCCAGGAAATATTGTCTGATGAGCATAAGCGCGGTCGACATGGTCAGCTGACCAAAGAGACAAAAGGACATTGCGCAGGATTGTGACCCGGAATAAGAAACAACTGCTGCAAAAGTGACCGCAGAGCTCAATCTCAGTCCCGTAACTGAGAATTTTATATTCTGAATAATATCATTACATGTATTATTGGCTTCCTATTTTAAGAAAATAATTAGGAAAATTCAAGCATTATTAGTGCCACTTTTTTAGGAGGTATGGCAGTTTAAGAGGTCTGCACCAATTTTTGACTGCTTCCCGACCGCCCTATAGCAGAACTACTTCTACAGGGCGACAGGGCTGCGCAAAATCAAGAATATATACATGATTTTGCATTTCCAGGCAGGGGGTGCGCCCTATCCGCACAAACATTGGCGGCTACAGCCGTCGATCTGCGGGTCCCAGCCGGAGATTACCCGCTGGCAGTGCCCGAGTTTCCAAATGGTCAGTCCGCCCCTGGGTCTGTATGTAAACAGCACAGATCTCTCCCGTCAGCACCGACATGCTGCGTAGAAGAGCAATACAAAGCAGTATGTTTCCCTAGTAAAACACACACAGCACACAGTTTACCCTTTGATCGCTCCAGATGTTATCCCCCTCCTGCCCACTGCCATTTGTACAGTGTCAGTGTTTTTTATTAGCAATGATCACTGAATTAGTGTCATTGGGGATGTCAGTGGCAGTTAGTCAGTTCTCCCCCCGTATCAGAATGCCCGCTATAGGTCGCTGATCGTCACCATTACTAGTATAAAAAATAAAAATTCCAGTATCTATACCCGACATTTGTAGGCACTATAACTTTCACGTAAACCAATTAATTTACATGTTTTGGGACATGTTTTTTTTTTAGCAAAGATGTAGCAGAATACATTTTGGCCTAAATTTATGATGAACTTTGATTTTTTAAATTTTTTTTACTGGATATATTTTATAGCAAAAAGTCAAAAATATTGTTTTTTTTTTCAAAATTGTCAGTCTTTTTTTTGTTTATAGAGCAAAAAATAAAACATGCAGAGGAGATCAAATACCACCAAAAGTAAGCTCTATTTGTAGGGAAAAGAGCAAATAAATGTCTTCTGGGTGCAGTGTTGCATGCCCGTGCAATTGTCAGTTACAGTAACGCAGCGCCGTATTGCAAAAAATGGCCTGGTCAGGAAGGGGGGTAAATCTTCTGGAGGGCAATTGGTTAAATGCCCTGCCACAAGTTTATGAAGCTCTATAGACAGTGGCAGCAGATACAGGTAGTTCCTAATAATGCCAGTGACTCTGACAATGGGCAGAGCCTTATGGAAAAGCTGTAACATTAATTAACCATCAGGTCCACTCTCTTTTTGTGGTTGACAGAACTCTGTCCCACATGGAATAAAAATATATTTTAAATATATTTTTAAAATATTCTTCCCAAATATATTGACATATAATTGAAATACTGCAATTTTGGCCATATTCAATATATTTCAAAATATATATATATATATATATATATATATACACACTGCATGTTAAAATGTGTTACAATATATTACAAAATATATTAAAAATACTTTAAAAAAAATATATTTTTTTAAATATGATCTTCAGATTTTTTTAACATATTGTACTGTATATAAAAGTCATTTTAACATATATTGTTACATATATTTGTAAATGCATTCCAAAAATGTAGATTAAATGTATTTTGAAAGGCATACAGTGTATTTGAAAATGTATTTTTAAAAATATTTGTCATATATTTTGTAATAAAAATACATTTCAACACACAGTATATATATAATATAAATATATATATAAATATAATATATATATATATATATATATATATATATATATATATATATATATATATTGAAGTATATTTTGAAATATATTGAATACGGCCAAAATTATAGTATTTCAAATATATGTCAATATATTTGGGAAGAATATTTTTAAAATATATTTAAAATCTATTTTTCTTCCATGTGGGGTGGCGGGCGGATTCTTTAGTCTGTTGGCTATAGCTTCACCCAGTACCTGCTGACAATCCCAAGGGGAGTGGATCAGAATACCGATCAGGCTCGGACCACCCATTTTTTAAATGTCTTGAGCTGCTGTGCTGTCTGTGTGATAGCTGCAACGATGGGAATGACCTCAGTTGCATTTAGGATGTCTATACAAACTCTCTAGCCTCAGTGCACCTCCACTTTTTTGAACAGGCACATGAATCTGTGGCCCACACCAGCTTTTTCCCATGCAGAGGCACAATAAAAGTCAAGTGAGAGTATCATAGATTGTCGTTATGAATTTCTCTGAATATTTGTTAAGATTGTGGTCTTTTAATAAAGTAGGACAAAGAGCAATCATGACATGCAAAGTGCTGTAACCTACTGCAAACAGGCAGATTTCTATTTGCTGTATTTAAATCAGTGACAGGTGATTTCTGGCAAGTAGCAAGGACTAGAGGTTTCTGCACTTTTCACATTAAAAAAGCCTTGGTTTGTATGTGGTATCATAGACATCAATTTTTGGGGACACAAAGCACCTCATATTGTATATCAATGTCTCTGAAACAGGAATTTTCTGTGTCCTTGCTACAAATGAGATTCATAATTTCAGATTAAATCTGCCATTTTCCAATGGACGTTTGTATCTAGTTGGTTACTAATGAACTACATGCACAATTATTGTTTTATATAATTTAGTATAGTTGTAACCCCTTGGTGAACTTTCTACTTGAAAGGCTCTAACATGTAGTTTATCTCTTACCTAAAAGATAATAAAAGCAGCATTAAAGTGTTACTAAACCCACAACAGTAAAATCAGGCTGTATATGCAGTACGGTTTGGTTCAAACCAATGCCTTTATTAGTGCTTTTTGCAGTCTATTTAAAATGGATTCCTTTGGGGCACATTCACATCTATGCTTTTTTGAGCAGCTGCGTTTTTGGAAAGGGTCAAGAACTTTTTAAATGCAAAAAGCAGTGTTTTTGCTACAACAGAGTTCAATGGAGACGTTGCTGAAAAACACATAGTGCGTTTTTTGCACATATTGCATTTTTTTTCTGCCCAGCAAACAAAAGATTTCCCCTTTAACAAAAACAAACAAAAAAAGTTGAAAAAACGCAATAAAAACACATCAAAAACGCATGTGTAAAAACGCAAAGCGTAATGCAAAAAACATTGCAAAAACGGATCAAAAGCAAACTGCATAGGTGTGAACCAAGCCTAAAGCATGCTTGGTATACTCACTGTGGAACACTGTGGAGTTAATCCTCTGCATTGTGTAAAAAGGCTGTTTGATCCTGTCTTCTCTGATCCTCCCCTTGTTCCACAGTCCCCAATCCATCTGCTGATAGAACAGAGCCTTGGGGGCAAGCTGTACATGCTCAGTTTGGTGTGTAGTGCTAGAGAGTTTTTCTTTTTAATTAGGAGAGTGCATGTGATCAGCACAGGACCAATCAGTGCTGTCCAGCCAGAGGGTCAGGGATCCGGTACTCTCGCAGGACAATCAGAGGACAATTAAAACTCCTTCTACAAACTTTAACATGTGCTCTGCTGGGCACTGATAGAAGTCACAAGACTACTCTAACTACAGATGAGAAAAGGTATTTAGTAGTTTATATTTACTAAAATAATTGCATTTCTGTGTACCGTGGGAGACCAGATAGGCCCCTTTCATACAGGCCTTTCGTTTTTTTTCATCTGTTCAGTCACGTTATTTCCAAGACAAAATGGATCAGTTTTTCATCAGTTCACATCCGATTTTCATCCAGTTTTCATCAGTTTACATCCATTTTTTCATCTGTTATTCATCCGTTTACATCCATTTTCATCCCTTTTTTGTCTGTTTACATCCGTTTTTGTCCATTTCCATCCTTTCCCATCTGTTTTTTGCCCATTCCGTTTTTTTTAACAGAAGAAAAATAAGGGTTTCTTCCGTTCAAAAAATGGATGTTAATGGATGTGGACATTAATGCGGACATTAATTGATGTAAACAGATGATCATCCATTTACATCCACTCGTCCATAGAAATACATGCATGCCCGTTTTTCATCCGTAAACGGACAGATGAAAAACGGACATATGAAACGCCCGTGTGAAAGGGGCCATATAGTGAATGCACTGTCCTGGGTTTAGTAACACTTTAAGGGCTGGTTTATGCCACAAATTCTGTGTTCCAAATGTGTTTTTGCATGCATGCCTTTGATGTCTTTTTTATGCTTTCCAGTGCGTTTTTTATACTTTTTTTATGTGTTCCAGTGTATTTTCCCCCTCTTTTTTTTTGTTCATCTAAATTCAGAACATGTGTGTTCCGGTGCGTTTGTGTATGCACTCCGGTGCGTTTTGTATGCATTCCGGTGTGTGTTTTGATGCTTATGAGGTTATCGTGGAGCAAACCACTGCTTTTTAAAATTAAAAAAACATTGCTATGCCTTTCAATCTAAGGCCACAGGAAAAGAACACAGCATTATGTTTCGAGAAAAAAAATGCATACCTGCACCACAATCTGATTCCAGCTGTGAAGTATGGTAAGGGGTGTGTAACAGCATGAGGCTACTTTTCTGTCTCAGGATCTGAATACATTGCAATAACTGGAGGACCAATTAACTCAATGTTAATGCAGGAAACTGTACAACAGAATATCAGGGCGTCTGCTATGTACAATTCAAAAGACATGAGGCTATGCAACACTAGAATGATCCACAGCACCACTGTGTGGCTCAAACAGAATGAATTCTATGTTTTAAGAATGGCTAAGTCAGAGTCTTGACTAGATGCTGTACATTCAAATGCTGTGGTGTGATCTAAAACAGACTATCCAAGCACAATATCATCAAACAGGAACCAAAACACTTTATATATAAACGGACCTAAATGCTTCTTACCTGCAGTACATATATAATCAGATGGCAGTACTATCAACCCAGTACTTTGTCCATCTGCTAAGAGGATTCCACTAGTTGCTAAATATAGTGTAACTTTCTTTTTAAATAAATGACCTTTATTCTTTAAACCATTAGTCCAGAAAGATAAGGAATGTGAAATCGCGTTCTTTGCTGTTTTTCTAATAAGTTTGTCTTCATTTATTGTTAACCTTTTATAAGGATCATATCCATTTTTGAAACTGTTCATGCAGAAAATCAGATTATTCCTAAAGCTCACAAACATTTCTTCTCAACTGAAAAGAGATGCAAAGATCTATGGCCATAGGAAGTAGCAGCAAAGTACAAAAGATCATTTTTTTAAACTGCATGGACTTTTGTCTTCTTTCAGCCAGACTAACTATGTAACTATGTAACCATGGGAGGAAATAAATTCAAGCCAAGCAGATAGTTTTCATACTGATAATATTGTGGTGTAAAAAAAAAATCACACTTTACTTTTACTTCCCTGGAAGGCCCTGCAGCAAGATCATATGTGGAAACAGGATTCATAGCTGTGCCCAGGCTCTGCTTTCTCTAATCATTCTACCAGGGGCGGACTGACCATTTGGAAACTTGGGCACTGTCCGAGGGCCCGGGGTCAGTAGGGGGCCCCATGAGATGCCCCTGGTACCTTTTTCATAGGCTTTTTTGCCCAGGGGCCCCATGATTTGTCAGTCCGCCCCTGCATTCTACCATCAATCAATGAACGTGTACTTTCCATGAATAGGATTATATTTGTAGGATACACACCTGACCCCAAGCTGTCTGTACGTTCAGGCACAAATGTGCACACATATATACCAACGGAGCTTGTTCCTTGTACAGTGGTACATGCAGGGGCGGACTGACCATTTGGAAACTTGGGCACTGCTCGAGGGCCCGGGGTTAGTAGGGGGCCCCATGTGATGCCCCTGGTACCTTTTTCATAGGGTTTTTTG